CTTTTCAGCCCATTTGCACCGGGTCTTGCTTCAGCTCCCACCGGAATCACTGGGGATCTTTCCACTGATTTCAGCAATGATTTGACCGGTAGAGACAGAGAAAGGAGCAACGCTGGATAAAAAGAAATAACAAGGAATACCAACTCCATAGGTTTTCTTACAAAATATTTCAGCACAGCCAAGAATTCTGTAATTAAAATTAAACATATGACACTGATATTCTGACTTGGATTTTGACCTGAAAGGCAAATGTTGGAATAGGGCCCTTTTCTTCTAAAAATCACTTATAACACTTTTATATTTGGAAGTCTGTGTATTTTGTAAAATGTTAGAGCATAACAGAAACAGGCAGCTTGTCTTTTATTTTTCCTTTTCTGCTTTATCCACTTAATTATAAACCACTTCTGTTTATAAACTATTTCGCAGGCAAGTTCTGATGCATCAAGGTCCAGAGAGCAAACAGCATAAAATATTAAATTGACATTGTTACTGGAAGTTCGTTTTAAAAAAGCACTTTCCAGTAGCATTTAAACAAACAAAAACAAAAAAAAAATCTGCATCTGGCACTATAATTATCAGCAGCTTTAAAAATAACAAGCCTAGAAAATTTAATCTTATGATTTAGAATTGCTCAGGCTGACACTGATTGACAGTTTTATTCCTTCCCGCCCAAGACCTACCAGCATTTATACATACGCTTAGTTTTATTATCTCCTGCTAATCTAAATTTATTTTTTACACAACAGTTCTGTTACTGTCTAGGGAAGAATCACGTTTTGGGCAAATGTCTACGTTTAGGACAGTAATTTCAAGCTTTGTTTGTACACCTAGACTGCTATAGAGGGGAACATAACACTCTTCCCAAATCCAATATGCATTTAATCTCATGTGAGGTCCTGCAACTGTCTCCAAAACTTCTCAGAATAAATAAATATACACACAAACATATATATATTTAGAACCTTAATAAGATACACACACACATATATATATATTTAGAACCTTAATAAGCGTAACACTAAGCTACATTGAATTTGCAAGGAAATAAGGTAAGAAAAGGAAGAGAAAGATGAGGAGAAAAAGGAAAGAAAATGAAGTTTTCTTGCTTCCCAGAGAGATTTGAAGCAGCATAAAGACCTCATAACCCCCTTAAATTAGAGATTTAGGAAGTGCTAATGCTTATAAATATGGAGAGCAACCAGCTTTGCTATCAGGACAGCACTGGAATATTTAGTCTCTTGACCAAACGTCCCATGCTTGGCAAAGGGACTTCTGTTAAGCCTTGAAGAATAGAGCAGACGGTTGCTACCGCAGGAAAATGGTCTTTATGTGCTGAAATCACACGGTGTTAGAAGTATGTTGCTGTTTTATTTATTTTGGACGCACAGAAAAGCCGGAGCACCCAGGGGAAGGCTCGGAGCAGCCAGCGGACACGCGCTACCTCACAGGTCTTGGCCGCAGGAAAGGAGGGCGATTTCTTACAGCTCTTTTTAAAAATTTCTTTTCTTTTTAATGATTTATAACTTTTTGTTACTACCTCCTCCTCCTCCCTGTGCTCCGAGCAGCCTTTC